AAGTTCCTTAGGCGATGTTTAAAGGAATTGTTCAAATCATATCAAGAAATACAGTGCAGATAAGAATTATAAGTCGATTGAAAATAGATGTTATTAGATAATTCTTTATGCGAAGCTTTGCCTTGAAATACATTTTCATAGTTTATTGTTTCTGCTTTCATGACACTCTTAAGATTGGTTTATTCTGTTTAATTCTGAAGTTTAGTACGAATACGAATATAGTACGTTTAGTACGAATTGTATTATTGTAAAAATTCATATTTAGACCAACATTGAAATCTTTGGGTGCGTCGTTTTTTTATCGATTTCAAATTAAAAAATTTTGCTCATGTAGGGACATATTTACATTCATTATTCATTGTTCTGTGTCCTAGACTAGAAGCAAGTTATTTTTTAACGCAATACATGCTTTGTATTAAAAAATGTATCATAAAAATTACTATTCAGTTTAAAAACATCAAAAAGAGAATGGATAAATGTGCAAGTTGGTTACTATTTTAAGCCTTGGTTGTAAAATATACCTAAAAACTTTGAGTGCAAAGACTATTCTTCTCTATTCCGTCTTTTTCATAACGTGTTAATAAAATTGAGGTCATTTTAAATGATTTAATTATTTAAGTGCCTACACTTACTCAGAATCGTTAAGTGGTTTCCCTAGGTGTAAATTTAGTATTAGTAATATTTACTTAAAGTCTTCTTTAGTTACCAATTACGTCTAAATAAGTCAGTTAAATACTTCCAGTTGAATGAATAAAATAATAAAAAATCTCTAATTAATCCCCAAAACCAATGCTTGTAAATTTGACATTGACATCACGAATTGGCAATCGTAGTGCCGTTAACACAAAAAAAATCGGTAAGTATCGTGAATCTGGAGTGCAATCGAATTAGTTCCGATCAATGTTACAGAACCGAGTCATTGTGCCACGAGGTACAACACTATCGGAACATGTTACCGTATTATATAACACAATCGATATCGATATATTCGACATACGAAACTCGATTAAGCTGACAAATGGTGTGAAAATAAATATTCAATTACTCGTACATCGACCTTTTTTAGTTCAATTGAGTACAGTCTTGGCTTGTGACGTATAAACTGTAATTGTCACTATCTAAACTTCGTCTACTAGTAGTCGCACCCGGCTCCGTCTCCGGGGAATTAAAAATATTAATAACCGTGTTCATGTATTCACTCAAACATTCGCATTTATAACAGTAGTAAGTTGCATATGCATTTGTTGATTGTCGCTTATTTTATGAAAAAAGAATATGGAATTTAGGTAACGGCTAGATCCTCTGGCCTTGCGGAGGGACGTCAGTTCCCTCTACATTTTTTACCGTATTTACCACGGGGAGTGTTCCGAGGAGTTGTTTGGAACAATTCCTGCCGCCGAGTTTCGTCATCGGACGACACGACAGACTGCCAGGTACCATCCTCACCATGTTGATGACTGGCATTCCACAACCGTGCGGTTTTCGCGGAACTTTCTGCACAGCCGCGTTGTGGAACGGTCTGTCCTCGGCGGTATTTCCAAACCAATACGACTTAGGGTCCTTCAAGAAGCGAGCCTACAATTTCCACAAAGGCCGGCAACGCATATGTAGTTCCTCTGGTGTTGCGGATATCCATGGGCGTCGTTGACCACCTTTGTGTTCCCGCCGCTCCTTTGCCCCCTTCTCATATAAAAAAAAAAAACTAGTTTTTCCACTGCAGAAAGACATTAAACTCTATCCATCAGCATAAATTACATAACTCAATTTTCTGCTAAATTATGACAGATTATACTAAACATTTTAAAATTGCAAAAAGGTTTAAGTTAGTAAAGAATAAGCCTCTAAGCGTCGCCGTTTATCATTTACATCATACGTGTCTAAAATACTTTAAAATTACCCCAAGGAACCGCAATCGGTCCGCTTGCTTAATGCAACGATCGAACGTTCCTACTTCGCAATTGATACTAGCATTATATGTTAAGCAAACCTATAAAATATAGTGTAAAAGTGATGTATGCTAAAGTTTATAGTAAAGGAGAGAATTTATAACAAGTAAATAAAACAATGAAGCTACGACTAGTATAAAATTTCGTCTTCAAACGAACACCAGAAAACAGATGATCATTCACTCCCATGGACATTGGCAATACTAGAGAAACTGCATGATTTTTTGTCTTTATTTCAATTACGCTGAGGTTCATGATTTGCTGTATTGCTTTTTAGTTTAATGCGTAAAAACTGCCATTTGGTCCGTTAATTAAAAACTATACAAGAGTTTTTGAGTTTTAATTATTTCGTAATATGCGTTGTTTATGCCCAAACTGCATAAATAGATGACAATTACCTCATTAAATGTATTTTCACCATTGTTTATAGACGTACCAGCTTATAACTGGCATATTATATTTCAATGTAATTACAATGCGTGATAGTGAACATCGCGTAATGTCACGTCGCTGACTGCCTCATGCCATTATCGAAAGTCGCTAGACCTATGATAGAGATCTCACATGTCAGTACTACTTCCTTCACGAATATATCTTTAATGCACTAAATTAAGAGGGAATCAATAACGATTTGAGACAACCAGTTGTTTTCCGCGATTCAATGTTTGATTTAAACATTATTTATATAAGTTAAATATTAAATTTTTTGCAATCACTTACGTATATATACTAATATTATAAAAAAAAATGTATTTTTGTATGTATTGAAATAACTTAAAAACTACTAGGCTGATTTTAATAATTCTTTCACTGTTAGAAAGGTAATTTATCTGTGAGTAACGTAGTTAATTTCAAGCAGGCGAAGTCGCGAGCAACAGTTAGTAATATTATAAAATTAAAAATTAAAATTGCAGATGTCAATGGACGTTTCATCATCTCAACGTTCCCGTTGCTTACACGCTTGTAAATTCTAATCAAATTTAATTTTAATCCCCCAAATTTTTACTTTAATATTTGTTGGAATGTCAATTTATTTCATAGATCCGGTTATCACAAATTCAATATTAGAGCGTGCTTTAATTGTTACAACACGAGTGAGATCCGTAACGATCTCTTGTGGCCGGTAGCGTGGCGGATCGAGCTAACGCATCCCAGATAACGCAATACTGAATTACGCTACATTATAAAACTAAGGCCATCTGCACACTAAACGACGCATCTTGTGCGTCGTGGATATGTTGCTTAGATAAAAATTAATCAATGTCGAATTACATGTGTGTGTACTTATTTATTACTCTGATTACTTTCTTCCAGCAAGAAATAGACATAAAGTTTTCATTTGTGTTGCCTTAGAATTGTTTGTGTATTTTCAAAATAACACAATCGTCTACGAAAATGGGAACGATTAAATATCGTATTTGTATTACATTGTCACTAAAAATGTGATTATAAATATACAATTATTTAAAAAAAATGTCGTGCAATTTTCACGCTACGTGTGCAGTGAACCTTAATTAGTCTGAGCCCGGTCATCGCATCTTAGAAAGTAATGTTGACGCTCTAACGATGAATTAATTTGCAATATTAACGTTTGTTAATATGAAAAACATTTTAATCTATAACTAGTTGATTTTAATGGTCATTAGGAGAGTATTTTTAATAATTATTTTATTTAACACAAAATAATTCAAAACTAGTGAAAAGATGCTGTAAATACGAAAGTACGCAATGTATGTAATCCGTCTTATTAAGTGTATTTAGCACATGGTTATTCCAACCTTCTTTATGTTCATTACCGTAAAACTTTACTTATTGACATCATTGAACTGTGTAACCGATATTATAAGGATGATCTAATGAACTGTGACAACGTGTCACGGAGAAGGTAATACAATAGGGGGATACAATGCTAGCCTTTGACTTTAAAGAGACAGGACCTGTCAAGCGCTCTAATTGAAATTAACAATAATTTTTAAACTTAATTGTTTTTGCTCGTTTTATATGTCTATTTTTGAGTTATGCGTCGATAAAGACATGTGAATTTTACATATCGTGAATTTAGTACAACAGTCACTCTTCGCATAGTCCATATCTTAATAGTCAATGCTTCAAACCGTTGATTCAGTTGAACAAACAACCTTGACGCAAAGGGATTGAGTGACTTCGATGACAATAAACATTTCAATCAATATAAATACACAAAACTGACACGTATTACTTAGGTAGTAAAGGACATTTTTCTGTATCTCATTGGTACCAATGAGCTTTATGATAATTGTAAATGCATTTCGTGATATACTAGCTTAATCTTGGTTTTGCCCACTAGTTTCAACATGGGGATGTCCAAGCGGATTAAATTATATAATCAACTATCTAGTTAAAATGTTTTCTTTGATATCCGTATTGATAAGACGTTATTAGTAACGCCTTCTTTGTAGGTCCGGGTTTGAAATTATAAACCGTTATAGGTTATGTTTCTCAAGAGACTTCAAAAAGCTAACGTTGTAACATCACTATAAATAATATAATAATTGATATATTACACAGATTAGTAGTCAGCAATCGAACAGAGAGCAATCAACGTTTATAATCTTTGCCACATAATGGTATTCCGATAGCAGGAAAGTTAATGACTGTGGCCGTATTGTGCTGTCAAAGATCAAGGAGACCAGACGCCGATAATGGTATAGTATGAAGTGTTCTTTATTGCAGTCTATTAATAGTCTGTCTTAATAAATTGGCAATAAAATATTATTTATGAAATTGAGACCAATTACGTCATAAAGATAGGTTTTACTAAATTCCACGTCTTTCAAAAATATGCATCTAACATTGATGTATATCTAGGATAGTTTTAGAGCCACAGAGCAAACATTGTAACTATAAAGCGACATGCATGGACTTAATGCTCTGTGTCCAAGAGATGTCTAAACTCCTTAGTTAAATACATGAATTGCCGAGTGCCAAATCGAGATATATGATAAGAGAGTGTTGTACATACAAGTTTGTACAACTACTCACTTGTACGCTTGTAGTTTATAAAAAGTTTTGTACCTGAGCAGATCTTAGGGCGGCCGTAGCAGCCGCCAGCAACAGCAGCACCGCCGCGCTCCACACGCCGGCTCGCATCCTGCCCACTGCAACACAAAGCAATAATAATTTATACAACCAACTTCATATTATAGTAAAAGCATAAATACCCACTACATATTAATAAATGGAAAGAAACATATTTAATACAGTAAAGGAATTAAGCCCGTGGTAACTCATTATCAGATGAAACACAGAAGATAAACGTTTAGAAGTATATTATGGCCAGAGAAAACATAGTTGAATGTAGAGTAACGACAATAACAACAGGATAGAGGATCTGATTTACAAAGGCAGTCGATTTTTAAGATAATGTAGTAAATATTTATTCCCCAACTAAACGAACAAACTTGTAAGAGGTCATACCCAGCAGTGGATTGTGAACTGGTCACGACAAACAAATGAACAAAAGAACAATTTGTCCTTGTTGTGACAGATATCGGGGCTTAGAAAGGTTAACGTTACATTATTGTCACTAAAATAAGAATCTAGGCATAAAAATAAGCTCTCAAATCTATCAAATATAATGAGAGATTGTTCAACTCCTAACAATTTCCTAACATGCTAAAATCATTGCCAAGCTCAAGAGAAATTTTAACGCTGTTAACAAACAACAATTTATTATATTTCCGTATGTTTTTAATACCTTTGCCTGCTATTACTGTATTTACTACGATTTATTATCTGTCGTAAATACTTTCCTAGCCTTGCATTAAAGTTAGGGTCAATAAATAAAATGTTTTATAGCTACAGGCTTAATTTGAAGCGTGGACTTTCACTGACAAAATACCAGTGACTTTCGATTCGACTCGCCAAAGCTCTCATTATTTCATATCAGTGTAAATTTATGTAGCCCATGTTTCCTTTTTATTAGTACAATTGCCTATTAATTTTGCCATAATTTTCTTCTAACGCTTCTTCTCAATTTTATCCTAAACTTTTCATCTAAAAGGTATGAACTCTGGTTACTGTTTTTTAATTTTAAACTAAATTCAATGTCGAATTAAACAAGCGCATGCAACACGAACTCCTGCAGAATTATTGTAAATAGAAAAATGACTACTAAAACTTCATAAATACGTATAATTTTCCCATTTCTTTCTTCTACTAAAGCCTTTACCTAAGCCAGCATTGACAAATAAATTTAACTTTTCATTTATTACATCCTTACAACACTATCGAGATGCTTAGTTTCCGACTTCCTCCAGAAGTAGTTAACTATATTGTTGAGGTGAATAAATAGCGCGGTCAAACGCGAGGAATGTGCGAATGCAATCTGTTGCAACAAACTTTCGCCGACAAGCCCACATGCTATCTGGAGCGGTGACGTATGACGCAACGATATAATTGTTTTTCAGTACCACAAGGGGCCAATTTTTACAGTCCACGAATACCACGTATGGATGGGCCGGTAATAGTACGAACGCAATTAGGACTGGCAATTTGTAGAACTGATGGAAAGTTATGCATTTTAATGAAATTGTTAAGTAATTCTTAAGCATATTAAGTTGGTAATAAAGTAAAAGTCACGTATTTATTTTGTGGTTTGCAATAAAAATTTCTTAGTGTTTTTTCTATATTTAAATTTAAAGAAACACGGGGTATTTTCAAATTTATGTAAATGCTGTTTTGTATCTGTATTTTTGATTGACAAATAAGCAGAGGCATTTTAATGTAATTTCAAATTAATAAAAACAAAAAAATCAGTTAATATCTTTTAATGTTGTTTTATAATACGGGTGTTATTTTCATTAATAACAATTATGTTGTTGTACTGGAAGACACAAATTTATCTTACTTCTTACTAATATTATAAATGCCAAAGTTAAGATGGATGGATGGATGGATGTTTGTTAGCGTTTGTAGCTTAACGGCTGAACGGATCTCCATGAAATTTGGCACAGGTTTAGAGCATAGTCTGGAAGAACACATAGGATTTTTATCCCGGGATAAGTTACGGTTCCCGTGGGATTCATTAATTTAGATTTTTAATGTTTACTCGATCATTCTGCAACGGTTCACCATATCTTATTGAAATTTAGCACAGATGTAAAACAAAGTCTGGAGTATACATGGGATAAGCTACATCCCCGAGATGTCCGGTTCTCGAGGGATACGTTTTTGTTATTTATATAGTTCGTATGATTTCTAATACGACGCGGACGAAGTCTCGGGCAACAGCTCGTTTATTATAATTATCAAACAATCAAAAAGTATAAAAACCTGGAAGAAAAACAACAATTAAAGCTATTAACTGATTCTTTTCTTTCTAAAAATTTGACGTTACATTAAATTGCCTCCGCTTATTTGACAACCAAAAATACATTAATTTACATTTAGTTAAAAATAAAAACCTTATAAAATGTAGATTATACTCTTCATCTACGATGATATAATCAGGTTCAACACTTAAATCTTTGCGTCACTATGACGGCGCGTTACAGTTTCTGTCCGAAGAAAGTTTCTAATGGCATTTGGGTAGATAATTAAACCGTGATTAATCTTCTATTAACCTGAATTGTAAGTATCGGTCAGCTTTGATATTAAAAATTTAAAACAAGTTGTGTCTGTCCATTTAAAGGACAAAGTTACATCATTTTTGACCGACTTCCCAAAAGAAGGAGGTATTCAATTCGTCGGTATATTTATTTTTTTTTTTTTTTT